AATTCAGAATAAAATAGAATAGAATAGAATGGAATTCAGAATAAAATAGAATAGAATAGAATGGAATTCAGAATAGAATAGAATAGAATAGAATAGTTATCAGCTGCCTTCAGAGTCAGACCTCAATGAGGCAGAAGAACAGCTGGAGCCTGTTCCCAGTGTGCGCATGCGTAGAGTTTCCAGACGAAGGGAACAGCGAAAGAACAGGGGTCGACTTGGGAGGAAGGCCACAGGTAGACGATGAATGGCCCCTCCCAGAGTAAATAAAAGAGGAGCGACAGGGGAATGGAGTTTGCAGGAGAGACAATTAGTTCACTTCATTGGTTCGTGATTCTCTGAGACTCCTTGCAAAGGTTTTGCAGAGATCGGCCTGGCAGCTCTCCAAGCCAGATAAGGTCTGTGACTGTAAATCCTCCCTCGAAAGACTTTGCTGGATGTGAAGGAGCAGAATTCACAGCAAATTAATAAAAGGGGTTTTTGTCGGGACAGCAAGGAGTTTGCTTCATGCTCTTGGGAAGTCTCAGTCAGAACGAACTACCCGTAATTTTATAAAAGTCTAATCTAGAGAAAGCCGAACTAACAATGTCTTTATTCTTTTTGAATATTTTCATTTTTATTATTTTTTCCAACAGCACCCAAAACCTCCTCACGGCATCTGATGCACCAATTTTGGGAAGAACATTCGCAGAATTCCTCCCTGGAGGAAATGATGCTGGACTCAGGAGCGCAGGAACTCACTCGGGAGGATACACCTGAGATACTCAGCCTGCTGCCTTTCCTGGAAGGACAGGAGGTGTTAGAATTGGGAGCCGGGATAGGGTGAGTGGTGCAGTGGCCTAGTGGTGGAGCTCTCACCTCACAATCAAGGAGGCTGTGAGTTCAATCCTAGGTAGAGGCAGATATTTCTCTCTCTGCGTACCATGAGAATTTATCTGCTGAACAAAACTCCTCATCGGCAACAGGAAAGGCATCTGGCCAGAAAACACTTTGCTAGTTCCATTCAGTTGCCCAGACTCCACCCCCAAAGGATTATAGGGTTATTAAAAGAAGATGATAGGGTGAGTGATGACAAGATCAGGAAGAATACAGGTAAACCTCGACTTATTCATTTAATGACCGCTTCAAGTTACAACGGCGCTGAAAAAAAGGGACAGGACTGTTTTTCCCACTTACAGCTTTTGTAGCATCCCCATGGTCCCGTGATCAAAATTCGGAGGCTGGGCAATTGACTCATATTTATGACGGTCGCAGTGTTCCGGGGTCATTTGATACCCTTTTGCGACCTTCTGACAATGGGTGGGGGGAGGAGATTCCCTTAACAACCATGTGCCTAGGTTAAATACCTGCAGTGATTCACTTAACAACCGTGGCACAAAGCCCCGTAAAATGGGATAAAATTCACTTAGCAAATATTTCACTTAGCAACCAAGATGTTGGGCTCGAAATGTCGAGAACTACCTGGATAACTCCAAGCGGCAAACATACCTAATATTCCTACCCGTTAGCCAGTAAGTCTTCCACTCTAAGTTTCAGATCTCGTGCAGGGAGGAAGGCAATCTGTGCATGCTCAGAGGCCACTTGAAGGCATTTGGCCTCGGCTCAAATCCAGCTGTTTTGTAATGTTGATCACATCTAGTTGGCAATTTTAGCAGGTTGGCCTGTCAAAGAGAGAGAGAGAGAGAGCAATTAATGGGGGGGTTTGGCCTTTGATCAGCTCAAAGTATAAAACATGACAAAGTCGATTGCGTAGCGAAACATTACAAAATGCATTACGAAATTGTAACCCTACGGTTCCGACTCTACAAAATAAAATAACTATCTGAAAATAAAATCTATAAATGGAGGGCTACTAATATGGCTGCATGAATTGTGCTTAACTATTCTGTGTTTCTCCGAAAATAAGACAGGGTCTTATTTTCTTTTTACCTTCGAAATAAGCACATGGAATTATTTTCGGGGAGGCCTTATTATTTTGGGGGCACAGAAGGGGGCGAGCGTGGTCACCTCGTGGCTACTGCTGTGTTGCAATATTTTCGAGGAGGGCTTATTTCAGCGCATGTGCTCAAAAGCCCGATGGGGCTTATTATCCGGGGGAAGGTCTTATTTTTGGGGAAGTTTGCTTTTATAAATTAAGAACTGCATTTGTGTAACCTGTAAATTTAGCCCATAAACAATTTTTAAAAATTGTGAATGAAACAGAAAATGCATAGCGTTAAATTCCATAAAACAAAGAATTGTAAGAAGGTCTAAATATTCTCTATATCTCTTAACCTATTTTTGTTTTAAGAAAGAACCTAACTTAATTCTACTCCAGGTTAAATTAACACAGTTAGTCAGCTAACATAAGTTCATTTAATGGCCATTCAAAGTTACAACAGCACTGAAAAAAAGTGACTTATGACTGTTTTCCACAAGACCATTGTTGTTGGGAGCTGGCAGCCGAATCTGACAGTGAGGAGGGTTGGGGAGGAACCTGGGCCAGTCCTGGAGTCTGGAGAAGACTCTGAGGAGGGCTCTGTGTCGGAGGCAGAGAGGGGGCCAGAGCCATATGCCAGTTATCAGCTGCCTTTGGAGTCAGACATCAGCAAGGCGTGATGAGCCTGTTCCCAGTGCGCGCATGCGCAGAGCTGCCAGAAAGCAAGAACAATTAAGACAAAAGGGGCAACTCGGGAGTAAGGCTTGGAGATAATTGGCACCTCCCATAAGACGTAAAAGAGGAGCAAATGGGACCTGAGTCTTTGCAGGAAGCAATTTATTCATGCTGGTCGGTTCAAACTCTGAAGCTCCGTTTTGACTCTGTGCTCCGTTTGGCCTTGCAAAACTAATTGGCAATGATGGGCAGCGTTTCAAGGGAGATAAAGGCGGGTGCTTATCAACATTTCCCCTGAAAGACTTTGGCAGCCTACTGTAGGACTCTTTACAAACTATTTGTGACTCATTACGGGCTGTGAATGAACCTAATGCACAGCCGTTGAAATAAAAAGACTTTTTTTGGGGACTAAGCGTGTGCTGTTTACTATCTCAGGATGCCTAGGTCAGAACACTCTATTTACAATAAAGACTACTGATTAAATCGTAAGAGTGTAAGGGCTGTTAACGCAGAGA